GAATGATTTGTTGGGTCCATGTTATCTGGGTGGCGTGTCTTCGGGAGGGGAGTGGGATTGAGAGTCTGGATATGGGGTCTGACGCGGAGATCTCTGCCGCTGTTGATGGTGACGGGTTCTGGTCGGGGAATTGGGATGATATTGGGAAGGCCCTGAGCTCGCCTCCGTCGAGGGAGAGGGAAACTTGGATTTTGGTCTCGTTGGTATCACGGGAGATGACTGCCAGCCGCCGGGCGGAGGGTCCAGAGGAACCCATGCTGAGTGTTCACAGGACACACGCGGCAGGTCTTGTCTTCAATGAACTAAGAAATGCCCTCCGAAGTCGCCATAGGCGCAGATTTGCAGTCTGCTCAAGTGTAGTAGCCAATTGACTGTGCTAGACCTTAGACGATGTCTTGTTCCGTCAACGAGTGATATGAGTGAGCCGTTCGTGGTTCGAGATGGTGAAAAGGGGAACCAAAGGGCTGTCAGCTCATCCGTAGATACAAATCGATGTGGATATAATTTCTGAGTGTCGACTAAGAATAAGTACCGGCCTTCAGTCCACTCGCAAGCTGGGAACTTTGTGGCAGGTCAGAATTTTGGGGCCGGGCGCGCATTGGCGGGGAGGGCTCCTCCATCCCGACCTCAAGCTTCAAGAAGCTCTCCTACTTACCACCACAATTCCAACAGTACTACGAATGTGACACCCAGTCCAGCACCAACCATGGTGATCAATCCCACCTACCTCGCCCAGACGTCCCGATCATGTACGTCCAGCCATCCAACACCTTTCCCCCTCCCTCTCCCTCGATCAACCCACCCACCCCATCCCAATCGCACCCGCTAACTCCTCACCCACAGCAACAAACTGGCAAGCCGCACGCCGACGCGTCCTAAAGTCATACCGAGCATGGCTACGAGCTGTTCGTCCATCAGCGCTCTCTCCTAGTTCAATCAAATGGCCGACCCGCATGCTAATTGTTTTTCCTCTCGGTGGTACCCAGGCGCCCGAGATCCAACAGATGTACTCGCTCAACATGCCGGTGTCGCGGATCCGGACCAAAGTGCGCTCCGAGTTCGAGAAGCATCGGTATGTCAACCAGCTGGACGTGGTGGATGTGCTGCTGTTCCAGAGTCATAGCGAGTTCCAGGTCAGTGCTCTCACCCATACGCGGGAAAAACAGTTATGAGAAGAGAGAGAGGCGGAGAGTTGGATGGGGTCGGGGGGAAGTACGGGGCCTATGCTGACGAAGCGATACGTCTTATCTTTTACAGGAGACACTGAACTACTGGAAGCAGCTCGCGCACGTCATGAAGTATTTTACGGCGGAGGAGAATCCGAGGGCGAGGCTGCCAAAGGATTTTATATCCGGGTTTTTGGAGGTAGGTCGCTGGGTTGTTTTGGACATCACTGGTGATGTGGGAGTGTTGCTGACGGTGAATTTACTAGGGGAGGAATTGATGGCATGGGAAATGATTATGCGCTGTACATACACCACTTAGAGTCACTGAAGAAGCATATCACCCAACCTCGAGCGCATAGAATGAGTTGAATGAAGATTACTGCTCTCCTTGCTCGGCTTCAAATTCCTCCAAAGCTTCAGTGAAAGTGAAACTTGTTGCCTCGCAGAAATCAATCAGATCATCACAGCCCTTGCGAAGCGCTTCGAAGGCGGTGGTTCCCGTATCTTCTGTGGGGGTCTATCAGCATGTTCGACGTCAAGATCTGGGGTGGGGATGGGGATAGGGATGGGGGAGAAGATATCTCATTACTTACCCCAAGTCTGGATGCGGAGGTGCATCTTTGTTTCCGAAGGATGGGGGATTGTGTAGCCGCAGAACTCGACGTCAGGACTGCGATTCGAAGCAGATCAGATTGGTTCTGGAGGAGGCTGGGTCCGTGATGGGGGAGACTCTACTTTTTCATGATGAAGAAGCGCAATGCGTTGCCCAGTGTATGGTCTTCCTTTTCGATCTGAAATGAACATGCGGTAGGACTTGCTCCTGGTAGCTAGCCATCACGAGTTAGACGAGTCGTGCTCGAATAGCAGCGAAATAGTTAATGATGGTTCCGAAAAGGTGTACTACGCACCACTCTGATTTTGTCTGCTAGGTCAACATCGAAGCTGCTCTGAGTTGGCTCACCGTTCTCCATTTTTGTGATGCTGCATTGGATGGGAAGAGGGAGTAGTTTTATCAATAATCGCGACTTAGAATTGCACCGTCAGATCCATTGCTGTTGGCTATTGTTAAAGCCTAGATACGGACCGCTTGATAACTTGGTTGTGATGGCACAAACTTGCCAAGACGTGGGAATTTTGATGCCAAGATTTCATATTGCACATTGCACTTACTTCTTGAACTTGAACCTGAGGACCGACAGGCTAGAATATACACGCTCTCTACATGCTCTCAGAGCGATTGAGTTCACGGATGAACGCAGAAAGCCTTCTTAGAAATCGTACCACAAGGTGACATAATCATGTTACTTTGGAGACACCTGGGATGCACATGGAAAGTTGTTGCAAAAGGTTTCGCATGGAACAAAGGATTATGTGCCCAGTACTCCAAGTCGGATGTATGCTGGCAACATGGTCTAGACGAACATGGGCTGCAGCAATTTCATCGTGTCTTCAGAGAGTGATGCCATCAATCAGTGTATACTTATGAATTCCGAGGAACGTACTCCGTAGTATTTACGATGATTGCGGTACAAGGATGCATGTATCGAACACAGCCTCGATGTCCGTACCAAAACACACCGATCAGACCGAGTTGCGTCGAGCATATGGTACCAGATTCCCCAATTGAGTCATCATTGATTATTGAATATTACTTTAGCGGCACCAATGAACCCATGCTGCAGAAGCCAGTAAACGGGCGTTTCATAAGCGCCGCACAAGGAGCGGAGCTTCTGTTGGTCCGTGGGAGGGCAATTCCATCGATAATCGAGGTGATTGGCAAGCCGCTTTTTGAAACCCAGCCGCCGAGTGATCGCTGCTTAGCTGCGAAGCCCGGGACAAGGTCTCCCTGTCTCGGGTCAATGCGCCCTTTGCCATCTTCCAGCTACTTACCTGGCTCGTTGCATTGAAATTCCACGTCGAGCTGCTTACTACATACCGGTAAAGACTCGGCATGAAAAACGCAACGTGTCCAATTCTCGGTGCCGAGACAAGTACGATTTATGGCAGTGTGCAGTTGTGAAGTCGCCAAACACAACCAACGTGCGGCTGGGGTGAGACAGCCCCCAAAACCTTCATTGGCGAAACAATGGGCCACTATTTATTTGAACGAACCCCCCACAACGGGTTCACAGGTCCAAACCCTAGGAGGCGCACTAGTTATTGCGTTTCATGCTGATCCTTCGTTATAGCACGTAGGTAGTAGTAGCAGGGTACAGAGGGCTCGGGCACCTAAGCAATACTACCATTTCTGATTGTATTCTGTTGGATGATGTCTTTGTGCAAGGTGACAAGCAGAGACTCGGACAAGAGCGTTGCATCAAGCAATGATTCGGAGAAGAAGCGATGGGCTGTTCTGGAAACAGCAATTGCACCAATAAACCGTGTAACGCGTTCGACTTGGAGATGGCAGATCGCTCTTCCTACTGGTTGGTGCAGGGGAGGATAAGGCATCTTCGGGCCCCCCACCCCTGGAGTGTCTGAGATGTGTGGAATTATTAGCAACCCGCAGTCTTGCCTAACGTCAGGTAATTCAGTCGCTGGCCCTCTTGCTTCTGACCAGCTGGGCTGGGAGGTGGTAGACACCCTGGCGAGCTGGGGAGGCTGGATCGGATCGGATCTGTTGGTCAGTAACAATAAGAAAACGGGTACGGAGGACAACGTTACCATTCACCACTCCTCGTGACGATTGTAGTCAAAATCGTAGTGCGACAATCACATTCAGCCCATTCCCAAATCGGAGAAGACTTCTGGGGAGAGTTCTGGGGAGAGTTCCTAGGTCTGGTCTGTGCCCAACGTCCCGGAAAAGCCAAATTCCAATATTCTGCTTCTGCTTGTCCTTGTCCTTGTCCGCTCCACACTCACACCACACACCATTTTCTCTCCCACCTGGCACCCGTTCTTTTGAAATTCCCTCGACGCCTCTCTTTTCACTCTGTCGACACGGGCGGTGCTCTCGAGCCTTACATTCGTTGCGGGTCTATTTGTGAGATCAACGTCTTCCACAGGTGCTATTGTTTTTGCCGCTACAGAGATCCGCCCAGTATCTATCCTACGGTCGCTCTCGAGCCCCCCCCCTTCGTCACTGCTGCAGCCCCCCAATCCCTGGGCACGCTACCCAAACAGGGGTTCAGTCCTTAAGTTGGACCCTATTCATTCGCTTGAACCCAACTTCCCGCCTAAGTTTTGCGTCGGTCCTATAATTGTCCATCTGCGTTCAAACTTCAATTGCTGTTCCACTCAGTCATCACCAGACCTCAAGTAGACAGAAACTAGGTTTGTCCTGCTCGGCACCGCCGTCATGTCGACCGCAGTTGCGCCTGCTTCGTCAACGCCGTTACCTCTCGACCGAGACAACAGTCCCAAGAATTATCCCACGTTGGCTCCTCACACCTCACATACGCCTGTCGAACGACACCCAGAGCTCACCCGCACTCCAAGTCATACATCGATTTCGCCCAATGACCGGAACACTCAGCTCACCCCGCCGGAAGGCAAACGCTCTCCCAAATCGTGAGCACGCTGAATAAAGATTTGGCGAAGATGTTATCAACTAACGATCCATCAGATCTCGAAGTGGAGGTGCCCCCAAGATCATCGTCAAGAAGGAACCACAAACATCTCCCTCAATGAACTCGGCCAATTCGGCGGGTTCAGCAAATTCAAGACATCGACCACGAAAACTTGACCTCTCCACAAACGTGCCGGTGCCTCCCGGATTGAGCTCACGTCCGTCAGCTGGGCCTCTGACGGGAAGAGATGGTTTAGTCATGCAAGATGTCGGTCTGGCTTGCTTGTCTCCTGGATTCCAGACTCAGGATCCTACTTTACGAGAGCAGCTTCAAAGAAGTATTTCTGTTCGAGATCAACAACGTTCTATCATCGAAGCTCGCCTGTTGAAGACGGCCAAAGGAGACGGCCCGGATGGTACCAAACCGTCGGAGTCTAACATCTTTGGCAATGGTCCTCCCACCAGTTCAAAAAAACGGCCACCGCCAGGACTGTCCATAGTCCCACCGTCGGCGGAACAATTTGCGAACGAACGTGTTATCCAATCTGCACCCCTTAACCAGACTTTCACCGGCAGACATCAGCCCAACCCCATGACCAGGCATATCGCAAATCAACCTTCCAATCTATCTCACACAAGTCACATTCATCACGTGCCAGCCATGCAGACCAATAACCGCCTACCGCCGATCTCAGATGTCTTTGGTTCGGACACCCTCGCTCCGAACAACAGGCAAGGCCAGCATCCAGCGAATTCAGCATCAAACTCGTCACACTCGAGCAATCGACCACCCTTCCCGTCGCCTGGCATTGTCCCTCACACCGCCCATCCTAGTAATGCTCCGTCTCGACCACGAGAATTTCGTTCTGCGGAAGAAGCCGTACACGAGATGACGGGCGGACGTGAAGAACTTCTGCCCCGCATCGTCCATTACGGTGGCCATCAACCACCCACGCCCCCTTCTCCACCCAATGCAAGTGGCTCCTCGACTTACAAGCACGGCCAACAGCAAATGCCAGGTTCCGAGAGCGGCCGGCCTGGTCCGACGAGCCGTCGAAGAAGCAGAGTGGAATACGAAGGTGACAGCAGTCCGCCCTTGGGCGCTGGCCGAGAAAAGGTACCATACGGACCTTTTGGTGCTGGACGGGACAGCCCGGAAACCAGCCGGAGGAAGAAGGAAGAATTTCTGGGTCTCTGCTCCAGAGCTTGGGACCTATTTCACAACTAATGATGATGGCCTGTGATACGATATGCATACATGTGCGTGGTGGTTTTCTCATCTGGAGTTACGGTACGAGAGGAGGCTGGCTTTCTCGAGTTCGACTTTGATATGGATCTGTTTTCAGACTTATGTTCAATTTCTACAGCAGAGGCAAGGCAGCGATAATGTAAGGCGACTTCTTTCGCTCCGTGGCGGCATTTTGACATGCGGCTTACATGTGGGTTTCGTTTTATGACCGCGCTCAAGAAGGATGTCTCGCGATGAAGGTACTGATCCAGTCTACCAACCCTCCAAAAAGATGCAAGAAAGCACATCGCTATAGCATTCTTTCTCTCCATCACTCAATCAATCAATCAATCAATCAATCAATCAATCAATCAATCAATCAAAAAGATTCCCTTTTCATCATGGAAGTACGGAGTATCAAGTGAATGCAGGCAGGAGCTACGGCTGCCGTGAGTTCATGTACCCTTTTGAATCCACGTTTTTGATGCATCCCATGCATAGCGGATGCAGGACTTATGCGGAGGTTTATGTCGATGATTTGTTTGTGAAAGCTTGCGTGGCCTGCACGAGAAAGATCGTCATCAGGGATTCAAAAAGAAGGGGAAAGCAAGCTGTGAGCTCTTCAGGGTTGGGTAGGGTCAGGTGCTCGTCGTGCTGTCTCTGGATCGAAGATTTATAAGCACGGAGTGTCTTATGGACTACATGTATCGTCTAGAGACCACAGGCAGGTTTATTCGACCTATCCTATCCATCAATCAAAGGCAAATCATATCAGAATAGCCCCAGCCCCCGCGTCACCTTTCCGATCTAGTAGCTATATCTCTGTCCCTCCTGACTCTCGGTAGGCCCCTCCCCTCCTTGCCCTTCTCCCTCTTCCGTCTCCTCTCCTCCTTCTTCTCCCTCGCTCTCTTCCCCAACCCCTCGAACCTCTCCTTTTCAATCTCCTTCCTCACCGCCCCCTTCTTCAGGTAGTAGGGCTGAGTCTTCCTCCCCTCTCGCATCGCTTCTCTCTCCTTCGCTCGGTGTGCGCGCAGGATCTCGCGTTCGCGCGTCTTGGTCTCTGCGTTGGCGAGTTTGGAGCTTAGGGACATGATCTGCCGTTTCAGATTGGCGATTGTTTCGGGGTCCGAGGCGGGAGCTGGTGCTGCGGTTGTTGCATTTTTCTTTTTCTTTTTGGAAGGGAGAGGATTTTGCGCGGCTTTGAGCTGGGCTTGGAGGGCTTGCAGCTCGGATTGCCGGTAGCTGGTTAGGAAGGAGTAGTTTTTATTGGCCTGTTCGGATTCGGCGGCACGGGAGGTGGTGCTGGGGTGGAGGTGTGTTGGGTCGAAGCGCGGGTCGCGCGATTTCAGGGCTGCCGAGGGCTCGATGATGGTGCGTTTTCGCGGGACGGCGTGGCGGGTTGAGAGGGTCTGTGGGGCGTGTTTGGAGGTGCGGTGGTGCGAGGGTTTGAAGAACTTGGTTGGTCGGAACGGGGTCGGGGTTTCTTCTTCCTTTGGAGCGGAGTTGGAAGTGTCCCGCTCTGGATCGGTGGTGTGTTTTCGTTTTCCTGGTCGGAGAGGAGGCGCCAATGATTCTTGAGCTTTGGCTAGAGCGCCGAAGCTGATGTCTTTGAGAGAGGACGTTGGTTCTTCTTCTTCTTCTTCTTCTTCGTCGGTGAGAATATATGGCTGCGTTGAGATGAGCTCGTTGTAAATATGATCTTCAGCAGGACTCGCCTACCTCTTTCCTCGAAACCGATGTTGCTGTATCATAAGAAGATCCTGCCGAGTCACTTGTGTGCCACTCGGCGACATGTTGATCCTCATTTTCGCTCAGACTGCTCCCATACTCGGCCTCCGCATTGCGACGTGCTCGGACTGCGCGCGTCAACATCCTTCGCGACTCATAGCTCGGCCAGTTGTGGATGGATGATACAAGAAATCTTTCTCATTTGACTCCCGCTTTGGAGAAAGTGAACCGAATCACCAACGGTTGAACTTCGGCAGTTGGAGATCACGCCTGTTGCTCTGCCAACACCAACGACTTGATTTGGAAGAAGTAAACTTTCCCAATTTTTCACAATTATTCCTCTCCGACCGCAGCGCAGTTGACTCGCACAACAGACCTGGGTGAATTCGACAGCTTATCAGGAGACTGAAATCGCTGCACATCAAGACCAGCACTGAGATGGCAACCAAGACTCTGGAAGCTCGATTTGAGCATCTCTCTGTGAATGATGAGAATGAGCCTATGCAGAAAGGCTCGGCCATGCTCAAGCCGAAGGTATACAATATGATGAGATAGCTCCATGTGTATCGTCTGACAGTACCTAGCAAGGATCTCTGACTACAGCAATGTCAATGACAGCACTCGGTTCATCACACCTTACGTCCAACCAAAACAGAGCGAATCTCCTCAAGTATGCCTTACAGACCAGCAAAGACACAAGTACCAATCCCAGCACCCTTACGACCACTCAAACAACATCAATCTCCACTCTGCCTCCCTCTCCAAGTCGAAAGCCGGCTATCAATCGCTCGTCAGACGAAACGGCGATGCAACGGCATTCCAATTCCTCTACCTCCGCAACAATATACGACCAACCCACCCCTCCCCGAGCCTTCCACCTCGGCATGTTCGAGATCGGCAAACCGCTGGGCAAAGGCAAATTCGGTCGCGTCTACCTCGCCAAAGAGCGCTCTACAAACTTCATCTGCGCCCTCAAAGTCCTCCACAAATCCGAGCTCCAGCAAGGAAAAGTCGAGAAACAAGTGCGCCGCGAGATCGAGATCCAATCTAACCTACGCCACCCCAACATCCTCCGTCTCTACGGCCACTTCCACGACAGCAAGCGCGTGTTCCTGATCCTCGAATTCGCCGGCAAAGGCGAGCTGTACAAGCTGCTGCGCAAGGAGAACAAATTCGCCGAGTGGAAAGCGGCGCACTACATCGCGCAGATGGCGGCGGCGCTCAAGTACCTGCACAAGAAACACGTCATGCACCGCGACATCAAGCCGGAGAACATCCTGGTCGGCATCCACGGCGAGATCAAGATCTCCGACTTCGGCTGGAGCGTGCACGCGCCCAACAACCGGCGCAAGACCATGTGCGGCACCCTCGACTACCTGCCGCCGGAGATGATCAAGCCCGGCTCGGCCGACAACTTCTACAACGAGAAGGTCGACCTCTGGAGCCTGGGCGTGCTGACGTATGAGTTCCTGGTCGGCGAGGCGCCGTTCGAGGACACGCCCGTCATGACGCAGAGGCGCATCGCCCGCGGCGAGATGACGGTCCCGAGCTTCGTGAGTGCCGAGGCCAAGGATCTCATTCAGCGGTTGTTGGTGCTGGATCCGGAGAAGAGGATCCCGCTCGACGAGGTGCAGCGCCATCCGTGGATCGTCAAGCATTGTGTGCAGAAGGGTGGGGAGAGGGGGTCGGGCAAGGGGACGTCTTCGTGACGAAAACCCCGAAGCAGTGATGGATCCTTCTTTTTTTCTGCAGCATTGGGCGTCTAGATGGGGGGTTATTAAGTTGGGAACTTGGATGAAACTCCTGGATATGTTGCAGGATTCTGCCCTGGGGAACTTTTTAGTGAAAAATGACCATGTTTTTCTCTTCTGCTGTGGTGTTCTCTGGATAATATATCGAAGCAAACGCGCACAATGACAGGCAAAAAAAGCACAAGAAAGCGTGTATATTCACATAACTCCGAACCTGAGTTTTTTATTTTTCTTTCCCCGTGGCTCAGCCTCCCAACCCATTCCCTTGCACGTCCATGCTCTCCGGCGTCGCTCCCCCCTCCGCCCCGCTCCCGCGGCCCCGGGGGTTTCCCGCCCAGGCGTCTGCGGCCGACTGCTCCTTCCGGCCTCCTGATTGAACAGGCCAATATTCTCCCTCAGACACACATACTCACTATCGGCATAGCCCAAGATCGCCTGGATCTGACTGCTCCTCAGGCCGCGGATGCGCGCCACCTCGGCGGAACTGTAGTTGACCAGCGCGCGGCCCACCTCGTCGCCGAGCGACCTGCCCGCCGCGGTGGTGGCGGCCAT